ATTAATATTTTAGCATATTTTCTTTATGGTCCCCTTGGCTACTACTTTTAAAATCATATTTATATAATATTATAAAGCCAGTCTTGAATTCTGCTTATATACTTAAGTTGACATAGTGAGTATTTTTTCATGTCATTAAAAAAATCTTCGAAAAATGCCATTTTTCATATTGGCATACTATTTTATTCTGTGGGTGTTCACTAATGCATTTTAACATGTCCCCATGTTTAAACATTTGAATTATTTACCACCTTTTTTTCAGGTATAAAGAAGAATGTGAGGAATACCTTGACATAAGACTTGGTTCATATCTTTTATTATTTACTTAGGGAAAAACTACTAGCAATAGTTTTGTTTGGAATAAGAGTATGGATCCTACAGATTTTTGATACATGTTGCTGTTGGTTTGCAGAAAGGTTTTACTAACTTTTTAAAGCATTAATTTATGAGCATATCTAATTGAATTTTTTTTTTTTTTGGTATTGGGGATTGAACCCAGGGGTGCTCAATCACTGAGCCACATCGCCAGCCCTTTTTATTGTATTTTATTTAGAGACAGTGTCTTGCTAAGTTCCAGAGGGCCTTGCTAAGTTGCTGAGGCTGTCTTTGAACTTGGGGTCTTCCTTTTATATGAATACACGACCAGTGTAACTCCACATCATGTACAACCACAAAAATGAGAAATCATACTCCATGTATGTATGATATGTCATGTATAACTAAAAAGAACAAAGAACTTTTTTTTAAAAAAAGTCACAATGTTTCTAAACATATTAATTAGAATGCAATTAGAGGCTTGGCACGGTGGTGCACACCTATAATCTTGGTGGCTCGATATTTCAGGAACATTTGGAACTTTTCTCTCTCTTTTTTTATTGATTGGATTATCTGAGAGAATGTGTGAATGGGAACGCTGGATCTAATAGCACAATTATGGCTGCTTACAACTGAGGAGAAATGTGATAAGCAGGAAGAAGACAACAAATTTTCCCCAAGTTTTGAGTGATTATGAACCAGAACTCAGGACCTATACATAGAAATTGCCATGTAAATAAGCATGGAGTCATGAGGTGAAGTGTTTACAAAATGACCCAAAATAGATGCAAATGCTCTAACTCAGTAAAAATCTAACAATTGCCTGAGGAGTCTAAGCAGCTGTTTTAATCAGCTTTTGCATCTGCTGTAACCAAAATACCCCACAAGAACAACTTAGAAGAGGAAAAGTTCATTTGGGACTCATGGTTTCAGCTTATAGACGGTTGACTCCCTTGCTCTGGGCCCAAGGTAAAGCAATACATCACAGGGAAAGGTCCAGTGGAGGAAAGCTGCTTGTCTCTTGTTGGTGGGGTCAGGAAGCAGAAAGGGAGTGGGGAAGGGGCCAGAGAGAAGATGAGCCCATCCAGAGCATGTCCCCAGTGACCACCTTCTCTAGCTACGCCAATGTGTCTACAGTTACCACTTAGTCATTCAAACTAGAATGGACCCATTAGGTTACAACCCTCACAATCCAATCACTTTACCTCGGAACATTCCTGCATAAACACAGGATGCCTCACAGCCAAACCATAACTGCATCTTCTGCTCCCTGCTCCTCTACCCACCCATAAATCTCATAAATGCAACAGAGGAGAGCCCTGGGCTTGGCTTCTGAAGGGCAGGACCAAGAGGGAGCCTCGGTGATGGTGGTAGGGAGGTCTGGTAAGGTTTGACTTGGGGGAAGGAGGCTGACTTTTTTTTCACAGACACCAATAAAGAGGCATCCAACAAGGAAGTGACCTTCAAGGCTGGCTGTATATACAGATTTGGGTAGAACTGCTGTTATTCAAGATGCTTCCAAAATTCACATATTGAACATTAAACCACATACATATGCACATACTCAGTAGTGAAAATCTTTACCCTCTTACTGTGAATTCAATTTATGGAAAAATTAGAAAAGTCATTCAGAACTGAGTCCTATGAATAAGAAGGTCATCAACCCAGGTAGGATTATTGCTGAATTTAAACAATGAAGTAGACTTAAAAGAAGTAGTAAGTAGATATGATTAATTTTAGGTTGAAATGACTATGCTACTTCCGAAGGTGATTACTTTAAAAAGGTAAATGGCCATTTGGATAAATGAGTTTTGGTATGTTTCTTTTATTCATTATATTTATTCTTTACCTTGATCCAGAAAAGAGTCAGGCAGACACTCCTGGTCTTTGCTGATAAAACAGTCTCATTCTTCATAGGGCCTGAGTGTGTACTCAGCCCTCTGACTCTCAGGAGGTCAGTTAAGGACAGGTGTAATAGGAGTGTGTGAAAAGGCATCAAGTCACATGGAATGGCAGTACCTATCTGTAAAATGAATATCATACTTTCATTAAAAAGTCTTAAAAAATTCATGCAAACTCTAAATGCAACTGATCTCACTGCTTGTTGTAGTGATCCAAGGCACTGTAAGTAATCATTCCCCACTTTATATACAGAGTAATTATATAAAATTATATAAAAACATAGGATACTGTACTCAATTTGTTTTACAATATAGAAATTTATTTGTAGGTTATTATTAGAGAATAGATGCTTTTGTTTGGTTAAATATTTACTTCATGAAATAAATACATAACTTAAAATAACTGAGAGGGAGTGCTAGAATAAATGTTACCATCTACTGAAACATTTTCCAAACCTAAGAATTGTTTTGGGACTTCTTTTAGATTGTCCTTAATCTTCGCAACTAAGTTTTTTTTCAATCCCCATTTAATAGGTGAAGAAATTGAGTCTCAGGATAAGTAAATGTCACCAAGATCCTGGAGCAAGTCATTTGTGGAAAGAGGATAATTAGATCAACCTGACTATGCTTTCCCAAACTTTAAGCATTTGCAGAATATGATCATGATTTAGGCCAGACAACAAAATATCTATATCTTTATTTCCTTAATAGTTCTCTTTACATTGATTCATCTTTTAATGACAATTGTTCACCTGAGCAGGAGGATTGCAATTTCAAGGTCAAGACTTAGCAAGACCCTATCTCAAAATAAAAAAATAAAAATAAAAGAGACTGGAGATGTGATTCAGTGGAAGAGTACTCTTGGATTCAATCTCCAGTTCCCCAGAAACAAAAGAAAACCAAAAAAACCTTAGACACATTTATTTCAAAAGGAAGCAAATAGCTACCTATATAATTTTTGAGATATAGAAGCAATTTTTTTGGTATGAGGGATTGAACTCAGGGGTGCTTACCCACTGAGCTACACCCCCAGCTCTTTTTATATTTTATTTAAGGACAGGGTCTTGCTAAGTTGCTTAGTGTCTCACTAAGTTGCTGAGGCTGTATTTGAACTTGAAATTCTGCTGCCTTGGCCTCCCGAGCCACTGGGATTACAAGCATGTGCCACTGCACCTGGCTGGAAGCAAAGATTAAGTTACTACAGCTAATATGGAACTAAATTCTATCTAGAAACCATTGCTTATAGAAGTCTCTGGACCTGCAGTTTGTTCTTTCTTCATTAAATGAGATGATTATCAAGTGTTACTAAAAGTTACAGACATCACTAAGCTGAAGAGAATTGCTTTCTCTCTGTGCAGTTCACCATTAACTTAAGGATCTTCCCATGTGGCACCTATGGTTATCCTGAACTCCTACAACGGTTATTAATGGTGCCTCACTTTGGAGTGCCTACACTATAGCATTTATTTCCTCTCGCAGCTGAGAAATTCATACCTCCTCACAGTCCTGCACACAGCTATGTATTAGGAAGGAAATACTTCAAATCCTTCAAAGTTATTGCTGGCAACAAATCCAAGTTGATTTTTAATGTTATCAATAACTTTTTTATTGTATAGACCATTTTCATATATGTTACTACATCTTAGTAGTAACATATATGAAAATAGTTTAATTATCATGTACTGGCCAAGTATAGTCATGAATGTCAGTAAATATTTTTGGTTGCTCTTGAATAGAGCTGGGTAAACCAGATTTTACAGCAATTATAAACTTACTTTAGACTGATACCCTAGTTTTCTTCTGGGGAACTCAGTATACTTAGTATAATTTTTTTTTTTTTTGGTAGTACTGGGGATTAAACCCAGAGATGTTCTACCACTGAGTCACATCCCCAGCCCTGTTTATTTACTTATTTATTTATTGAGACAGGGTCTTGCTAAATTGCATAAACTGGCCTCAAATTTGCAATCCCCTTGCCTCAGCTTCCTGAGTCACTGGGATTACAGTGTATACGCTGCACCCAGCTGGGTACATTTTAAATACTACCACATTTCATCTTCCTTGCTTTGCATCCAGGTAGGGAAATACAAGGATACATCAGTCAGTTTTACAATCAGGAAAAGCAAGGTTTACAATGTGCTTTCTTTTTCATTTAGGCTTACACATTGGCGAGGCAGGGCTGGGCTAAAAGGAGGTTCTCTGACAATGAAGAACCATAGCAATACAGCAGCTGGGATATTGCAGCTCTTCTGATATATCTTGGACATAGTGTGTCAGGTTGCTCAAATCTTCAAATCTATGCCCGCCCTTTGCCCTGTCCCCTGTGCAGGGTGCATGGCCTGGAGATCCAGGGTAGGGACTGTGGGGATGCCGCAGCTCAATGGATAACCAGCTTCCTGAAGACACAGTCCTACCGCCTGGTGCACTTCGAGCCCCGCATGCAACCAAGAAATTCTCACCAAATCGAGGACCCATTCCGACCCACAGACCAGGTGAAAGGCGAAGCTTGCTCTGTGGGTAGAGAGCAGCTGCTTAGCCCTTGAGACACCAGTGGCATCTTTGATGGACTAAGCACTGTCATTTTACCAGGCAGACTCTAGGCTGCTCAGATCCCAAGCAAAAGGCAGAAAAGTAGCCCTTCCCATGAGAACAGTATTCTGTTTCTTGTTTTGGAGGACTCTTGCATTTTGCCCATGAGCATCTAGTTTCCTGTTTGGGTAAGCATCTGATGCCAGTAGTGGTTCAAAATATTCTCCATCAGTATCTTTTTTATTCATTCTGTAACTTCTCAGAGTCCAAAATTTTAAAGTTTGTTTGCAACCGTATGTCATGTTACAGTCATGCAAGTCGGTGTGGGTATAGGGATTTGCAGACTTCAAATGATTAGACAGATCCTCAAGGGAATAAGGCTGTAGGGATTCATTATGAAAGTAAGGTTGGTAGCATCACATACTATTCTCAACATTTAAAAAAATTTAACATTAATTTGCAGGTTGCATGAAACACAGGTATCTATGCAATCAGTGAACATTTTGTCAAACGTAACGAGGCCATCAAACCTTATGGCCTACCTTCATAAACACTGGAATATTGGAGGCTTGGAAGGTGATGTGATGTCCCTAATGGCAGTTCTAGGATTCCTTGCTTTCTTCAGGCCACCGTGCAATTCTGCAAGGCTAGTTGAGATTTTGCATTGATGTGACTTTTCTATGAAAGGAAAAACACTTGGAAAGATTGTGCATTAGTGTGATCATGTGTGTGTGTACATGTGTAGGGAAAGGGGTTTCCGGGCACTAGACACTAGTAACTTCTGAGATGCTTCTGTGACACACATTATAAGGATGCCCGTTTCCTTTTCAGGTTGCCTACTCGGATGCCAGCCCTTTCTTGGTCCTCTCTGAGGCATCCCTGGAGGATCTCAACTCCAGGCTGGAGAAGAAAGTTAAAGCATCTAACTTCAGGCCCAATATTGTAATTTCAGGATGTGGTGTCTATGCAGAGGTAATGCTTTGCCTTGTCTCTTTTCTTGGATTTAACTCTTTTTTTTTTTTTTTAAGATATGAGAGTCCTTGGCATTGTATTAGATTATTCCAAAAGGTGCGTTATTTGTTGACCATACAATAATTCAGTGTTTAGATTTATTGAGCACCTAATAAGAGCAGACTCTTATGGAAGCTATGAGTGTGGGTGAGGCAGATGCACTGTTTGCAAGGAGGGAATTCAAGGTCTGAGGCCTTTGAGAATGATCACTCCCTTGGGGATGATGGGTATTTATAACATGGCTGCTAGATGGGGAGCTGGAGGGATTGTTGCCCTAAAACCCTTCCAGGGCCACCTCTTGTTGGCCTGTAGGTGTCTTCATTGGGTATGAAAAACACCATCACCCTGCAGGACCAACCCTCAGCTCCTTGGCAGTGCTGGGCTCTGTTGACTTAGCAGGTGGCTTATGTGTTCCCAGATCCCCAGCACCCACCCATGCTCTTCTTCTTGACCTTGCAATTTCTGTCAAGGGTGCCACATTCTTTCTTTGACTCAGATTTTTAGCTTAAGCGTTTCCCTTGGAGGCTCCCTCTGCACTGTTGCTCCCCAGCCCCTGTTGCCACAGCCAGGCCTCCCACAGCACCAGTATGAGCTCTTCCCCTCTATAGTTTGTGACAGATCATCACAAAAGCCTTCATTGCTCAAGAGCCTTCAGTGGCTTCCCATTTCTCAAAAGGTCCAAACTTCCCATTGTTCTTTGATAATTTCACCACAATTTGCTTTCCTGACTTTATTTCCAATAAGAAGCTCCAAAATGCACACTGGATCTAGAACCTAATATGTATTCTCCTGACTTCTGGTCACCTAGACTCTTGCCCCAGTCCCCTTTAAAACTCCTGACCTCCTAGCCCAGTGAAGCTACCTCCCCTGTGAAAATCTCACCAGTGGTCAGGCCCAGGCCATGCTCTGCTGTGTTTCCACCTCTCCCATACGGGGACTTTTCCTGTTTGAACTGATCACTTCCAGTAGTGTGACCTGTTTTGCTTTCATGGGTTATAGTGTGAGTTCAACAGACTAGTTTTCTTCTTTTCCTCACATTGGGTAAGTAGATAATTTGCTTACAGTGGAATTTTTACCTTATTTTTCTGGTGTCTCAATCCCTGATGGTTTTTTTTATTTCATGTAGAGGGTGCCCTGGAAATATTTCTCTAATTTGTAATTATCTCTAATGGCACTCCTCATCTCTCTCCTTTAAAAAAAAGCGTTTTTATGGCCACAGTGCCCCCTGGTGGATAAATAATCACAGGCTGTGGCTGCTGGTAGCTTCTGTGCCATTTTCCAGTCTGTTCAAAGCATACAGTTAAGAAAGCCATTTTATGATTTAAAGCAAAGAAAAACAAAAGCCTACAATACACATATCATGAACAATACACACTATCAGAAATAAATTTCCAGGGGGTCTGTTTTATATCTTTGTCCCCAGCCCTCAGGAGGCGAACACTTCTCTCCAAAGGTAAGAAGGTCAGGACTCTAATCCCATGCCCTTGGGCTCCTCAGTGTTCTTCTTTCTGCTACTGCGCTCGATGGCTGGAGTCCCCTTACCTTTCCTCCCTCTAGAACTCAGATCAAGCACCTTTCTAGCACGTACAAAGCCCTGGGTTCAATCCCCAGCATGGAAAAAACAAACAAAATAAAATAGTAACAAACAAACAAAAACACATGGTCTAAATTTAATCATGAGGAAATATCAGACAATCTATAAAATAAATGGCATATACATTTCAAATCCCGCCTTTAAGCCAGGAAATTTAGACCTTTCCTACTTGAGGCACAAAAGACTAGGAATGTACATGTGACTGATCTAGGGAGATCCGGTTCTTCAGGACAAAGGCCAACTCTTTTTTATGGGGGATTCTTTGAGTCCCTGTCCCAGGAGACACCGGTGCCCATCAGGATGCACTAGCCAGGCCTGTGGTGCCGTGCCTACCTACTGCTCCCTTGTCTGCAGAGTCACTGACCCTACCTGCCAGGAGGCCACATCTCTATGACAAGATGTTTGGCCAGAGCCTTGAGTGCTCTAGAGTTTGGAGGTACTTTCCAAAAGGCAAAGTGCACAAATAAAAAGAAATGCTACTCAAAGCAGAAATATCCTGGCTCTGAGGAACTAGAGCTCACTTCTACTGAGTCAGCTGAGAAAAGTGAATTTCCAGTATGACAAAGTCAAGAGACTGAATGGAGTAACGGTCTCTCTGGGGTGAGCTGAGAGGAGAGGAGGATCCCTTGTAATCACACCCTTCCCCTGTGCATTCCCTATTTTCTCCAGAGTCACCATCAGCCTCCCCAGGCAACTCTAGGGGGTAGATCTGATGGGTTCAAAAAAAAAATAAAATAAAACTCAGATCCCATTTCACCTAGTTCATAAAACTTTTCCCTCACCAGATCAGCCTGGACTGTATTCCTCTAAACTCCCAGAACGATTGTTGCCTGCGCAGTGAAATCAACACACAGCATTCTGCTTTATCGTGCTTTTTCTTGAGTTTCCTGGAAATTTTAAAAAAGAGTACTTATTGGTCTTTGACTTTTCATCTATGTATGCCCTGTCTCCTTGATGGATTTGAAGATCTCAGTCCATTGACTTGATTTGTCTTGAAAACTGGACTTCACTTGCCCCAGCTCACAGGCCAGTGTCTGAGAAGCTGCCTCAGCTGGCAGGAGTAGCTGGAGCACTTTGTGAATGTGCCCGTGGAGATCAGTGACAAATAAGGTCCTGCCTTTCATATCTTCCTATCTACTCAGGAGAAATACAGGGTCCATATATGCTGTGACTTCAGGGGCTTAATTCACATAGCCTTAAGCATGCATAAAGGATTTGGTACGACTCAGAGTAATGGGTAGTTCCCCCTCAACAGATCTCCATCCCCCAACCCCCAAGAGTCAAGTGAGATGGGTCAGAGAGGTCTGAAGGAGGTGAGTTTCTATGTCAGTTTTACAAGTGAGTTGAGAGAAACATTTCTTCTCAGGTGAATGAACGGACATCAAAGGCAGAGGGAGAGGGAACATAAAACTGCGTGGGTAGCAGTTATCTTATCTCAGGACTGAGATAAGTCAGCCATTTTTTTATATAAGTGTTGTTATTAGGGGTCAACATCGGGAAGTGTCCACGCAGTCTGTCTGGGTGAGGGCTTATAGAAATTGTGCTTTTTCTCCTAGGATTCTTGGAATGAACTTCTTATTGGGGATGTGGAACTGAAAAGGGTGATGGCTTGTTCCAGGTAAGGCTCTTTCCTGTGCTGTGGGGATAGGGAGGGGTTGCTTTAGGTGAAGGCCTACTTTACTTTGTCCCCTGTGTGATTCTGTGTGTGTCTCTGTGTCCAGGTGCATGTTAACCACAGTGGACCCGGACACTGGCATCATGAGCAGGGAGGAGCCACTGGAAACGCTCAAGAGGTAGAACTAGGCAGATGGGGTTTCATCTGTGGGTTTGGGTGCCTGGGGTGGAAGTGATATTTATTGCTAAATATTTACAAGAGGAATCAGTGGGAACACCACACCTTGAAGCTACAGGGTCCTGATGGCTTGGCACATGGGAAGCTGGTGCTTTGGTTACAAGATGTGTGCTGGTAGGAATCATCTTATAATTTTTTTTTTTTTGTTTAGAAATTCATGATTCAAATGAACATTTTGGCAATCTTTATTATGGACCAATTATTAGATAACATCAGTTTGTTAGGTGTCATAAAGGCATTGTGCTTATGTAAAAAATATTAATATATTTGTTTGTTTATTTGTTTGTGGTGCTGAGGTTGGAACCCAGGGCCTTGTGCATGCTAGGCAAGTGCTCTACCACTGAGCAACACCTCCAACCCAAATGTTAATATAATTTAGAGAAGTCTGTTGAAGTGTATATGAAGTAGTATATGAAGTGAAGTTGAGTGATGTCTGGGATCTGCTCTACTTTATTTTAGCAAAAAAAAAAAAAAAAGATATATGAAGATATGAAAAAAATCTCAAAAATTTTGATAAACAAAATTCGGGTGAATTATGTGGGGGTTCATTGCATTATCCTTTCTACTTTAATGTTTATTTTAGTATTTCATAAGAAAAAAATTTTTAAGCGAAAGACACAATTAAAGAGAATAATTTTAAATTGTATACAAAAACCAAGATAACATTAATTTTGCAAAGCTGATTATAAAATTGCATATGTAGCATTTACTTCTTTGTCTTTGCCTATTTGATTTTATTTTTCAAAAATATTACAATGTACGTGAGTAGATACAAGGTGGAAAGGAAGTAAAACCGACATGGCAGTGGGGGTGTTCTTTTAGTAATAGAATTATGGAAAAATTATACTTCTCTGTAGTCTTAAATCTACTTTTGCAAAAACAACAATAACAGTTTAGGATCCACACACTTCCATTCTGTTATCTGCCAACTCTGGGAACCAGGAAATTGCTGAAACTCTGAAAGTGAACTAATTATGCTCATTTTTATTGGTCCCTTCCATGTTATATGTAGTCATGAGCAGAGTGTCAGGTCTCATCTCTACAGCCCCAACACTCTTGACTTTGGGCCAAGTGACCCCAGGTGTCACCTGTGGATGGGAGGCTGGGGGAAGGCAGGGACTGCTTTAGGTGAAGGCCTGGAAGATTTGAGGAAGGCATACCATTGACATAAGCCATTGTGTGTGAGATCCATCATGAGAGAGGACATGAAGGAGAGCTTATGCTTGGCATTTGTATAGTAGACTCATTACCTGGAATGAGTCCTGGGATGAGTCTGTTGCCTTCCCTTCCTTCCATCTTATTCCAAACTCTTGGCCCCTTGTGGGCCAATGATTTGGTTTTCTTGGTCAGTACCCATTGCTCTCTGCCATTCTACTGTCCAGAAGCTACTATCTCATCCATCCCTGAGCAAGCTGACGCTCTGTGCTGGAATGTTGTTGTTCCAGCTTGAGTATTGCCCCTAAGTATAAGGCGCTGGGCCTGCCTTCTCTGGTCAGCACCTGTGTCTATGAGATGTGTTCTAGTGTGAGGGCCAGGCTAAAGCAAGGTAGAGAGATGGTAGGCAAGGGCCTAAGCTACCTAGCACAATGAGGAAGGTCAGGAGTGAGTCAAACAAGGTAGATTTAGGGAAGTTAAGGAGTATAAGGAGAAAGGAGGTTTGTGGGACTAGAGGAAGTCTTGGGTGAATAACATAGATTTTTTTAAATTTTATTTTTAGTTTTTTTTTTTTTTTTTTGCAGTTGCAGTGCTAGGGATGAAACCCAGGGTCATACACATGTCGTACAAGCACTTTATAACTGATCTATACCTTTGGCATCCAAATGTCTGCTTTTAATTGCATACATACATAGCATTTACTTCTTTGTTTTTGCTTATTTGATTTTACTTTTCAAAAATATATCAATATTCGTGAGTAGATCCAAGGTGTACAGGGTGTAAAACCAATATGGCAGTGAGGGTGTTCTTTTAGTGATAGAATTATGTATATGGAGCCTGCAAAAGATCAGGGGGTGTATGGGCCTTGAGTTTTCAGGAACATTCAAAGAGTAGCATATAGACCACCCTAAGGCAAATACCATCATGTTGAGAGATGTTATATATTTTTCTACACTTAAGCAACATTAATTAACTTTTATATAGAAAGTTAATACTATGGAACATTTAAGATTGATACATTTCACTCCATGTACATTTTGCCAACAAAACAAGACAGTAAATAAATGAATTATTTAGAAGTTAAGTGTATTGATTTTTGCAACATATTTGGAAATGCAAAAAAAAAAATCAGTGGATTGATGGGTAAACATGTGACAGAGGAAATATAATAAAATGTGAAGTGTAAGATCCACACAGTTAGTAAATGGTGTTCATTGTAAATATCAACTTGTTTGCCTGTTTGAGAATTCTTCTGATACAGTAGTTCACCCTTATCTGCAGTTTTGTTTCTATGGTTTTAGTTACTTGTGGTCAGCTGTGGGCATGAAAATATTAAATGGAAAATTCCAGAAATAAGGAATTCATAAGTTTTAAGTAACTCTTGTTATGGTATATTGTTTCAATTGTTCTATTATTATTGTTACTCTTTTATTTTGTGCCTAATTTGTAAATTAACTTTATCTTAGATATGTATGTACGAGAAAAAACAGTGCATGTGGGATTCAGTACTACGCACATTTACAGAAATCCACTGGGGGTCTTGGAATGTATCTCCAGAGGATAATGAGGGGACAATTATAAGACATTTGTGGGAGGAGGAGCAGGATTTTGGAAAGCCATGATGATGGACTATAGCTATTCTTAGAAATGTGCTCACTCAGTGTCAGAACAGACCAGAATTGAGTCTTCCTATTCCCTGGGCCACAGAGGAGCTCCAGGGAGAAAAAAGACAGGGTAGGGCAATGGAAATAGCCCTGGCAGGGGAGCGAGGACAGCAGGCTATGGTTGTCATCAGCACGTCCCCTTCAGCCAGGCCCTGGCCGTTCTTTATAAAATAAGGGAGACGGGGTGGAACTGGATGATTCTGTGTGTGAATCAGCCAAGTGACTTGGGGAATTGGTTGTCAGCCTGTTTTATACATCTTGTTCTCTCTTCCTCCCTAACATGTTGCTTGGCATCAGACATCCTTTCCCTTTGGATTTAGAGAGTTTATGTGTTTGCAGAAATGGTCTTCTCAAAGCACTCCATGTATTTGGGCTGCATCTCTGAATCTTTAGTGCCCCTCCCTCTATAGGGAGGCTGTGTTTATAGAAGGAGAATAATTGACCCTAAACACAGAGTGAAAGCAGGAAGACGGAGGTCACGAGGAGCCCATACACCCCCTGATCTTTTGCAGGCTCTATATACAGTCCAGCAATCCGGCCCTAATTGCTTCTAATACCCCAGGAGACAGTGCAGCCAGTCTAGGTGTCTTCTCCTATCTCTTACTGAGATTTAAATTGCCACGGCTGTAGTAATTTATGTTCTTCTCAGGACAGGTGGTCATAAATTGGGAAGAAAAAGGCCCTGGCACGTCGCATAAATCTTGGGAAGAGAAGCACACACAGTGGTGTCCACAGCAGCCTCTCGGCCACACTACTGTTGGCCTCGGTCTCTGCGTGTTGCTGCAGCACAGGGATGGGTGCTGCGTGCTGCTAGATTACCAATGCTCAGCAGAGAGAGCTATCTGTCTCTTGCCTGGCCTGACCTACTGATGTTCATCCCCACAGTCAGCCCAGCCGGACAAGCAGGGCAAGAGAATGAAATATACTTTGCATTGCTGAATGAACATAGGTTAGAAGCACAGGAAAGCTTGTCTGCTCACAGGAAAATATGGAATTTATGCTTTTCTTTCTTAAGGGAGAGTGATATACACACTGATCCCCAGGACTTAGGGAGTAGCTAGAGCCTGTCATTGTTGCTTCTACAACATCTTGCTCCTCGTAGAAAAAATACAGCACATTTACCACAAAAGTGCTCAAAAAAGTTTTGCTGCATGCATGAATCTGTGACAGTAGTGACGTGCGCCACTTGCCAATTGTGTTGGGCTGTGCTGTGCTGAGCTAAAGGCAGAAGGTGATACTTCCAGGTCCCCCTGTCACCTGCTAATTTGTGATATTGACAAATTGATTAGGTTCTTGAGGGTTCAGTTGGTTTATTTGCAACAACTGGACTTACATTTATTCTGGTAACTGAAATAATGCAATGAATATAATTTTTAAATAGATAATAAAATACCATGAAGAATTATTATGCATACTAGGATCACTGATAGTCTTAATTTGTAAAATTGATACCTGCTGAGAGAAAAAAAAAAAACACAGAAGACACTTCTCTCCATCTTGGAGGCTGCTTTAAATGAAACTTAACCTAATCCTGTTCCACCGCCAGCCTCTGGGTGGCAGTGTTGATGCAGCACTTCTCCAAGGGCCTTTATAACACTGCTTCATTCTGAACTGGTCATAGTTAGGTCGTGAGTCCTCAGAAGTGGCCTGTGCCCAGAGTGACTTGTGGCCTCCTGATCTCCAGGAAAGGTACTAAGCAATGACTAGAGACCCTGCCTGTGGCTGTAGTCTGGTCATTGACTAGTAATGAGGAAACCAGGTGTGTGAACAATGAGCAGCTCTCACTGGTGCACAGCACTTTACAGGTAACAAGGTGTTTCCATTCACACTACTCCCTGTGAATATAAAGACTCTTTTTTTTCAGTGCTGGAGCTGGAACCCAACACCTCATACATGCTAGGCAAGAGCTCCACCACTGAGCTATATATCTAGCCTTGAAGATATCTGTTTAAATAACATGTCTTAGGCTTTCTGCTTATTAGTGTAATTTTATGTTTTACATTTACTGAAAGATAAAGCATATATGTGTGTGTGTGTATGTGTGTTTCTTTCTTTATTTTTAAATAAAAGTCATAGAAGATCCATGTATGAGACAGGACCTTTTTCAAGTCAGTTGAACAATGCTTCCACTGCAGTACCTCATCATTCACACAAGGGGTCGCTAGTGACCTCAGTTAGTCTCCCCACATCCAGGGGCAGCCTCAGCAGCAGCTGCTGATAATGGTACAGGAGGAGATGAGAGTCAGCAACGCAGCAGCCCAGCAGCCATGCCTGCCACTGAGGTGTGGCGAAGTCCTGACAGGCTGCACCAGCCAAGAACCAGCTTTCCATTCCTGTAGCTCTTCCTTTTTCTATTCCCACATAGAAGAATGGACTGCCACCTGTCAACTAGATGAACAGAGCTTCACTTTTACACCCCTGCCCTTCATCCCACCCTTCACAGTTTAAAGGGACTGGGTTGGGAGCATCAGTGGCTATTTTTGGATTTCCACTCCTCAGTTTCCTGGAGAGAGAGAGTGAGTGTGTGCCTGTGTGGTTGATGGGGAGGGGCAGGTGAACCGCACGAGTGGCTAAACCTTTGGTAGATGAGTAACCTATTAGACCCTTTAGTTCTTCTCAGGCCTGTGGGAGTACTCAGGAGGAATATGGTGACCAGGGATTATATCTGGGTGGCAAGAGTCCTCACTGTGGTGTCAGTCAGACCTGAGCTGTGGCCCCAGCCTGACCACTTAGATCTGGGGTCTTGGGCAAGTCAGTTACTTCTGAGACACATTTATAAAACAGGGACACAAATTTCTATCTACATAGGCAAAGAGAAAGCAAAGAGATAATATGTGTGGAGTATTTCACACATACATGTAAAGAATGTGTGGCTCACAGAACGCTGATAATCGGAGCCCAGGATCACAGACTACAGAGATTGGAAATAAGAATTTCCAAGCCATAAAAGTGACTGCTCAGCCCTGATTCTAAAGATGCCACTCTCAGACAGGCACAGATCCCAAAATGTCCCTGCGGTTGTCTGCTGACCAAAGAGAGGCAGGCCAGGAGAGATGCCTAGAGTTTCCAGGCCTTAGGCCATGGCAGGTTATGGGGTGAGGGAATACTCTTGGCAAGGCAAGGCAGCTTGGACCAGCAACTCTCTGTAATAATTCATTTATTTATTTATTCATTCATTCATTTGTACAGCCAACAATTTTCTGAGTGGTTACAATGTACCAGGCACTGGGCCAGGACTCCAAAACAGACATGGTGCCCACTGGCATGTTGTTTACAGCCTGGGGGAGGAGCTGAGGAGCTCCAGAGGAGCTTCTAGTTTTAACTCTGGGTTCTCACTAGCCATTTCTGCTTGGGGGTGGGGATGGGGAGAAAGAAAGAAAGAAAAGAAAATACTCCAAATTATTGTAGTAGATTCTTTTTTTAAAGCAAGGCAGAATAAAGTTTATGGTTGCAATAATGTTTTAAATATAAAAATGATGTAAATAAGAAAGTGAAGGAAATCTTTCTCCTGGTAGAGAGATGTGGGAAAGCCTGGATGTATTTTTTCCACACATCTGCTCATGTGCATTCCGCCTGGGCTGCTTGAATTTTTTTGCCTGACAAAGATGTTTATAGTCTCTTTAATAGAGATGATCACCAATACACTTATCATTTCAACAAATAACTGTGGGTGACATACAAAGCCCAGCATTGGGTATGAGCAGGATCAGGGAGTGGGACATAATTCTTGCTCCCCAGAGACTCTGTAGAAGAGACAGACTGGTGCCATGACGTTTGAGCCTTGGACTCAAGAGGGCTCAAGGGGCGGAGAAATCAGGAGGGTGAAATTATTCTTGTCTTGGGGTTTTGTGGGATTCCTGCCTGTGAGATGTGGCATTTAAGTTGGGCCTGGAGGAAAAGGTACTATTCTAATGCGTGGAGAAGTGAAGGAGGGAAATCCCATAGGAATCACTGAGGGACACTGAGTCGTAAAACACAAAGCAAAGTCAAAGTGCACTGAGGAATCTGCTAGCAGATTGCTACTAGGTGCAGATAAGGAGCAGTGGGCAGTGGGTTTGAAAAAACTCCCTGGTGCCAGGTAGAGGGTCTTGCATACCAGGCTAAAGAGTTGGAATGTTATTCTTTGGGCACAGGGAAGTCGTTGAAAGTTTTGGAGCCAAGGAGTGATAAGACCAGAGTAAAATTAAGACGGTATATAGTGCTAACTATAGATTAAAGCTGGGGGATGAAAAAGAGAGGTTGGGGGCTGGGGATGTGGCTTAAGCGGTAGCACGCTCGCCTGGCATGCATGCGGCCTGGGTTTGATCCTTAGCACCACATACAAAAACAAAAGATGTTGTGTCTACCGAAAACTAAAAAATAAATAATAAAAAAAGAAAGAAAGAAAAAGAGAGGTTGGTGAAGAAGTTATTGCCCCTCTGGCTTGGGAATCTAAAGCAGGAGGTTTGCAGTTTCAAAGCCAGCCTCAGCAACTTAGTGAGGCCCTAAGCAACTTAGTGAGACCCTAACTCAAAATAAAAATTAAAAAAAAAAAAATGGCTGGGGATGCGGCTCAGAGATTAAGTCCTGCTTTGTTCGATCCCTGGCATCAAAAAAAAAAAAAAAAAAAAAGTTTGCTCTTCTAGTGTAATCTGAGTTTGCTGGAAGCAAGATTGGATGTTGTGGATGCTGTGTAGGAAGAACCTCAGGACCAGGCAGTCATAGAAAGGAGGAGAAAAATGCCTCCAGGGCTCCAAGTTCAAGGAACTGTCAGGATCATGGTTCAAGTTATAGACATAGAGTCGGGAGGAAAGAAGCCAAGGGAAATGAAAGATGATACCGTATGTTTAGGCATATGGAATATTTAATCTCTTAATGCTGAAAAAGGAAACATTAATGCAGAGAAGAGCTGTGGGGAGACTGCTCCTGCAATTGTGCACTGGGCTGGCTGCCCACTGCCCAACACCAGGAGGCGCTGTTCTGCTAGACCTGATGAGAATGGTGCTCTTTTCCCCATGCAACGTGGCCGGTCTGTGTGGATTGAATACTTCAGTCCAGAAGTACATGCTGCTTGGGCACATGGTTCTGTTTGGCTATGACTCATCATGATTCTTCTTTTATTGCAGTTACCGCCAGTGTGACCCTTCGGAACAAAAGCTGTATGGAAAATCACCCCTCTTTGGACAGTATTTTGCTCTGGACCATCCAGGGACAGTCAAAGTGGGAGATCCTGTATACCTGCTGGGAGAGTAATGGGAATCATGTGTTTTGGAATATCTGATGTCTTTAAAAGAAATGGCCTGAAAAACGACAACTCTTGACTTATATGGTGCTTCAGAAATGACACCTCAGCAGCATTTTCTCTGATCTGTGATTTCTAAGTTTTTCTTTCTTTCTTTTTTATTCCTTTTTTTTTTTTTTACTTCCTTAGGTCTTAATGCTTACAGGACCCAGTGCACAAAGCAAAGAAATATGGTCTTGTTGATTTAGTAGGATTCAGTAAGTCACTTAAATGATGGGATTCCGAAAACTCCCTGTTTAACCTTGATTATTGAATAGTTCCTTCTTCTTCTTCTCTACTCACCTACAAGAGTGCTAACCTCCATTATCTCACCTTGAGCCTTTAGGAAAAGAGAAGAGAAAGAGGAAGAGTGGGTGAGCCAGAAGAATGTTCTGGAATGTTTTGTTCACCCCATATATGGGGCATGCAGTAGAAATTGAATAGTTCCTCAAATAAGGCCTGAAATGTAACTTCACTTTTCTTCTTGAGCCCTTCTCGAGCCTTTTCTTCTCAGGCTAGGTTTTGAAGGATGTAAAGAGCCCTACTGCAGCAAGCACACAGGACACTGGTTTTCCATAGATCATCTTGGATATGGTACTACTGCTTCTAAGACAGTGTCTATGATGATTTGATGAATCCTTCAACACGCGCAGTGACTTTGGCTGCAGGATAGCAAAAATGTCAGGGTAGAAAACTAATTCACTAGAGCCACCAAACTGTAGTCTAAATCATGTGAAAAGCAAGATGAACAAAAAAAAAATTGTTTTGCCATTCAAACAACACATTAAATTCATCCCGTTAATGATTCAAAATCTTTCCCAACATAAACAAGTGAATAGTGTCACCAGAAAGAAGGACATCTGGCTTCATGCTATCTAAGATGTGGTTTGACCTTGACCAGGGAAGTAATGATGCCCTTCTTAATGTAATCAAGAAAATAAATGACCCCAAAACGAGATGGTATCACATAGTGGTGTTCAACGAGAGCTCGGGCCATGTTGGAAAGATAGTGAATTTCATTTAGTTTTCTATCTGGAAATATTTCTTTGTAAAGGGATTAGGGTAGATTCCAAGTACCCCTTAGTTCTCTGCTGTAGGAATTTGATTTTTTGAAAGCACTCAGAAGCATGCTAGAGGGTTCTGGAGATCTCTTGGATCTCAAATCCTAACTGGATTCTCCTCCTCAAATCCAGGGTGAGAAAGTTCTGAAGTCAGTGAAGAGAAAGAAAAATGATTGTGTGTTTTGAAATAAATCACTGAAAACCTTCAAATGGAGAAGAAGAAAACATATTTTCTGTTTAAAATCCAATTTTTCTACTGATGGAATTATATAATTCTAAGATCTGATGGAGAATATCTGTCATTGTCATTGAGTCCTTTGATTGTATTAGGGAGTTGACTAAATCGTGAGAAATGTTCCATAAACTGTAAATGAATGGAAGCTACTTTGACTGGATTCAGTCAGATCTTACTAACTTCCTGGCTCAAAGTCAGACTTTGAAAGCTGACTGACATGAACCAGCAAAGCCAATGATTCTGATACTTGGCCAGAGCTGGGTCTCCTACAGAATGGACTTGCTCAAAATCTGCATCCAAGGTGAACATCCATCTTGGAAGGGCTGTTGAGTAAACATGCTTTTTTACTAAAAACTAGGCATTTTTTCAATTTGGTTTTATAAACAAGGTCAGTAATCACTGCAGTCTAGCTGAACTCTTAGGTGAAGTTCCGAGTGTGTATTTTCTGATGGGCAAATTGTTGCAATTTGTTTTCTGCACACTTTGGCTTGAAGTAGAGAATTAAAACAATTTTCCACATAACCTGTATCATTACCTTCCCCAATAAATCCTTTTTATGCTGAAACTACAGGTAGGCTGAGACAAAGAGAAGGGGACTTGACATCTCATGGCAGAATGCACACAGGATTTAGGAAGCTATATGGATACTGGTTCTCTGAGAGTAGCTGATAGTGAGGGACCAATCAGAAACCTAAGCTTGGTTCGGTGATATTTCTAGGTATTTATAAGCTTGGTCAGCTGAATGCCATAAACCTGAATTTCTACCACCTTGCAAGGATCAACATCCACTTCTCCATGCCTAACTACTTTAGGCAGAGTCCTAACTACTTTTGGCAGGTCAGGGCCTTGGGTGAGTAGCTGGCATTGGAGGACAACCCTCAAAAGGAAGGTGGTACCCAGACTCTCTCTTCTCACTTAGTGAGAGTCTCCTTGGAGTCCCCAGAGAAGAAGAAAATGCATGTTTGAAGAGAGAGGTTCCAGTGACCTCCAGGATCTCAGAGCAGTTGCCAAGCTTTCCGTCAGTGAGATTTAAAAGCCATTTACTTGTGTTTATTTTATATTTAATGAGTTGGTTAATGCCAAAGACAAAACTGATGTCCCATTTATTTTGGATACTGAACATTTGCACAAAATTCCACTTAAAATACAGAATCAGGAATGTAGGCCATCACAAACCCTGAGAAAGAGCTTACAATAGCAGGTGATGGACATTTGAGGTCAGGTCAAAATATCCACCCTCGATGGATGGCCATTGCATCCTGTGAGGCAACTTTATGGGGCAATCACTGCAGAGAGCCACAAACCCCCCCCAAGCTGGAGATCTTGAAAAGAACATGTGGGAAAGACGCTGGGTGGGCTGCCTTAGAGGCTCACTTTCATGCCATTCCTTAGAAAAAGTTAGAAACTTGCAACCAGGAGATCAAAGTAGTTTTTTTTTTTTTTTTTTTGTGTGTGTGTGTGTGTGTGTGTGTGTGTGCTGGGGACTGAATTTAGAGCCTCACACATGCTAGGCAAGTGCTCTACCACTGAGCTGCACCTCCAGCCCCCTAGTAGCAACTTAGGCACAGGATAGAGGGAAAAAAAAAAACACAAAAAAACAAGGTGTGCCTGATGGAAATCAGGCAGAGAAACACCCTTTCCCTCCTCTCCTACTGATAACTGGGCAGAGTGAGAAGATGAGCTTGTGGGAAGGCTGCCAATTTGGTGAGAGTCTGTGTGGGTGGTCAGGTGGGCTAGACTAGCCAAATGTGACTTTAGGAAACCATCTGTGAGGCTGCCATCAACAGGGATGGCAGGCTGCTGCTTCAGGCAGGTGCCCCCAGAATTTCAAGAGTGTGACAAGCTAATCTATGATGGCAGAAAATACAGAGATACAGAGATGCTCTTCAACTTATGAGAGGGTTACAACCAGATAAGACCACACTGTAAGTAGAAAATACTGTAAGTAAAAAATGCATTTAATACAGCCCAGCTACCGAACATCCTAGCTTAGCAACACAGAGCACTGTGACATTGGTGGTCATGGCGGACTGGGAGTTGTGGGCGGAGGCAGGATCAGACCACGTGTTGCCAGCCCAGGATAAGATCAGAATTCAACAGTGTCTACTGAATGCCCATCATTTTGTCATCATCATCAAGTCAAAAAAAATCATAAATTGAGACATTGTCAAGTCAGAGGCCATCTGTGCTACAGTCTGTTGAAAGTGACCAGAGTGGCTCTCGACCTTGATTCCAGCTCTGATAAGTGTGTTGTCAGTACCACAGCTGAACACTGCATTTCCCAAAGTTGTATTGGTCTGTGGAATTCTGACTATTTGCCTGGAGGGATGTTCCTAACAAATAATTCCATGGGCCAATAAGTTTGGGAAGTTCAGCACGCCTCACTCCTCTTTAAAGACAGAACAGCCTGTTGAAGGCTCTAAAGAGACCTGCACAAAGATGACTGTGTATAATTCTTCCCTACCCTCTAATCTCTTTTTGACTGTCTTCTGAGAAAGGCTCATCTGACTTTAGAAGGAGCCCCAGCCAGGAGCCAGGAATCCCAGTGCCTTCATGGGAAGATTGGAGGAGTTAAAGTCCCCCCCCCCCCCCCGCCCCGCCCCAGGGAGGAGGGCTGTTTTGGAATGCTCCCTCTTCTCCCCCTGACCAGGGCACAAAGATGGGAAGTATTTTAGATCAGCTCTCCAACTGTGGGCTTTAGGAAAAAGCATTCCCTTTGCAGCATGCATGGCTGACAGGGTGAGAGAGGAACCCAGGTTCTCACCAGTCCTGGCCTAACAACAATGCTCGGTGAAAAGCATGCTCCTGGATGCTTCATGCACCAGAGAGCTGCCTGCTAGCTTTACTTTTCTGTTGTAATGCCTCTCAGCTAGAGTTACTTCTCACTCTGCAGAGCAAAATTACCTCAAGGGTCCTTGGGTTTGAACCATTCACATATATGCTCTTTAAAGTGTGCTCTCATATCAGCAAGAACCGACATTGTTTGTTCCTACCACTTTTCCCAGACCTGGACCAGTAAGTTGTGATAGCATCTTAAATTACACAATTTTAAGTAAGAGGAAGAATCTGCCTTGGTACCACAATGTTCTTGGAATTGTCTGCTCTGACTGCACTTTCTTCAGAGGAAGAAATCCAGGCCATAGCTTTGACTATAACCTTACGGTCCCTCAAAACACAGCTGACGGGGACCCAATGTGACTCTCATGCTCTGTGGCCATGTTCAGAGACAGAAGCTGCCCTAATCACATTATTTGTCTTCCTGGACAGCCTGTAGGTATATGTTAAGTCACAACAGGGTCTGAGAAGTGTCTTCTCATTCACCTTCTTCCAAGGCCATATTTGATAGGGTGGATCAAGTTCACTCATTCCTGACCAATTTAATGCATTCATTTTTGGTGGTCCTCAGTCACACTCTCATACCTTCCCAGAACATTCTAGACTGTTCTCCCGTCTATCTCCCTCATGAAACTCACAGCCCCTGGTTCTTTCCCTTCATTCTTTTATGCTCTTCACCAGTTCCTAACTTGAGTCTATCATAGTCCAGTCCAGATGAAGTCCAGTTCGATCTACATCAAATCTCACATCGATTGATCTCCCTCTTTCAGGTTTCCTGAGAGTACTACAAATAAAGTATTGTCATAATTATTTCCACTTAATATTTTTACACCTAATAAAGAGATTGAGTCTCCGGGGGCTAGGGGAGGGGCATCTTCCAGATGACTCGTCCAGCAATTAAAGCGGCTTGTTAGTCGGAGGCCTGGGATGGCTGAGGACAGATGGAGAGCTCTTCTTTGCAAGCAGCTCTGGTTAACATCAACTGGGAAAGCTCTTTGTAAACACATGAATAATTGATCGTCTAGTGCTCACATAGCTACCGCGGATCTGAACCCGTATGACTCATTTGCGAGCCATTCCTGTCGTCTGGATGCCATAACATTGGAGGAATGATGATAGTTTCTTGGAGGTTCTTCTGTGGCCAGAGTTGCCAAGACCAAGGCTGTAATGGTTTGTTATGATGACCTTTGTTATTCCATCAGACTCAATTGCTTTAAAAAATGATGTGTGCATACTTTAGGAACGTTTTTACCCTTTACGTTGACCTGACATCATAGTTTATATTACAAAATGTATTAATGACAGAGGAGTGTTTTCATGTCCCAAGGACAAGTTTTAACAACCATAATCTGCCCTTAGTCATCATAAATATAAATGTATTGGTCAAACAGATCTCGTTAATGTGGCCAAGATAAATGCAAGTCTATATTTTAAGGCAGTTGAAGTCCTAGAGAAGATTATTTGGAGCTTTTTGTGGGGGCTAAGAGATCTTGTATATGTGCTATCAAAAGACAAGAGAAAATTAAAATGTTCCCCTCTCGGGTTTTGAGCTCGACAGATATAAACGTCTCAAGGATGTTGAATAGATGGTTCACATAGTTTTCTGGACACCATTAATGCCTGATGGGGTGAATCTTAGTTCTTAAAGCCGTATTCTTCTCATCATGCTCACGGGGTTTTGAAAAGAAAACAGATTTCCAGGCTTAGCAGTGTGCAGCCCAACCCACATTTTTCTAAATGACACTGTGCCTTAAAATTTTAATTATATTATCCTCCCACCCCCAATATCTTGCTTCCTGTGGATTGAGTCCCTTTTCTGTGTTCTGTGCATGTGCGTCTGACCTTTTGTGTGGATCCAGTTGGCGAGCCATATGGCAGCAGGCAGTGATCCAGGCCTGATCCGCAGGACAGGGTGGACATTTTATTTTCCTCTTTGTTACACCACACTGAGAAGTGATGGTCTTTATTAGCGGTGTCCACAATTTTAAATTTCTCAGGCAGAAAATAAATCCTGTTTGAAAAACTTTTTAATTGTGTTTTTATTTTGAACTGCCAAAATATATTTAAGGCAGTCGTGTCCTAAGTGTTGGTTTCTGAGAAGGTAGAGTGCTCACAGCGGTGAGTTCATCTCTCCACACACCGTAAACAAGATGCCTTAATTAATTTCTCCAGGGATTAGGTCACTTGGTTATAAATGATCAGCTCTCCAGTTAAAACCATTTGCCTTTAGAAGAGTCCTCCAAGGGAGATCTTCCATTCTGAACCTGTTAGAGCTTTTGGGAATAACACTGGTCTTTAGGAACATGATTTTTCCTAAATTACTTCTCTGGGAATGGGGATGAGATGATTCTCTAAATTGTGCTGTGATAATCTCCTATGCTGTTCAAACTTTTGATAGTTTAACTTAAAAGTGAGGCACAGAGTCCCGTGTTCCTAGCGGCATTATTCACAGTGGTCAGAAGACAGACCTATCCATGTCCATGGACAGATGAAGGATTAAACAAAGTGTGGCCTTTGCACACAAGGGAATATCATTCAGCTTTAAAAAAGAAGGGAATTCTGGCACATGCTACAACATGGATGAATACTGAAGATTATGCTAAGTAAAATAAACCAGACACTCAAAGATAAATAGCTCACGATCACACTTATGTGGGTTAATTAGGGTAGTCAAACTCATGGAAACA